CACAGTGGCTGGTGGCGGCCAAGAAGGGAGCGTCCAACAGGGGGCGGTGGGGCACAAATCAATCATGGCCCGCGGCATCTGCGCGGCCCCGGGGGGGGGCCCAGGGACGTGATGAAACAAGAAGAGGCACCACGAGATCTGGGGAGATACCATGGCCCCCGCCATGATATCCAGAGATCCGATGTCGTGATTTTTTCAGTACGGGGTCCCCGGAAGTCTCGGCCCATTACCCAGGACCGGTGTTTCATCCTGAGCCGTTTTTTGACGCTCCCGAGGGCCGGCGAGGGCCCCTGGGGGCCGAAATTTGCGAAAATCCTACGTCCTGATTTCTTCAATGCGCTGGATCTCTGGGCATTCACCCCCTCTTTGCCGCCCCCGACAAGAACGGCCCGAGAAGCCCACCAGACTGGGCCCAAGACGGCCCCCCGAGGGCCCAGAGGCGGCCCCCGAGGGCCCCAAGGCACACCAAGAGGTCCCCAAGACGGCCAAGAGAGAGACCCGCGAGAGAGCCCCAGGAGGGGGAAACCCCGAGGAACCCCTCGAGAGAGCCCCAAGAGGGGGAAACCCCGAGGAACCCCGAGGAAACCCCGAGAAACCCCGAGGAACCCCCCGGGAGCCCTCCCCCACAAGATGGCCCCCACAAGATGGCCCCTTTTATGCCGCCCCCGAAACATCGTCGAGGCCTGTGCGGGCCGGCCGCGGTGCTGCCGGGCGGCCCCGGCATGGCCGCCCGCCGGCGGGCGCGGCCCGCAGGGGCCGCGCGAGGCGCTCGGCCCGCCGCGCGGCGGGCGCGGCCGGCGGCTCGGCGGGCGCGGCCGGCGGCTCCCGTAAAGGAAAGAGAGCTATGCACAGGAGGAGGAGGAGGAGGAGGCGGAGGAAGACGAGGAGGAGGCGGAGGAAGACGAGGAGGCGGAGGAGGAGGAGGAGGAGGAGGCGGAGGAAGACGAGGCGGAGGCGGAGGAAGACGAGGAGGAGGAGGAGGAGGAGGAGGAGGAGGAGGAGGAAGACGAGGAGGCGGAGGAGGCGGAGGAGGCGGAGGAAGACGAGGAGGAGGCGGAGGAAGACGAGGAGGAGGAGGAGGCGAACTATGCACATACACCGTTTCTGGCCAGGCCCATCCTGAGCCCAGGATCGGTGCATGCGCCCTCTCACCTTGGCCCCGGGAAGGTAGATGCACCGATCCTGGGTCAGGGATGGGCGTTGTCAGGATCGGTGCATGTGCATGGTTCTCTTCCGCCGACTCTCGGGCCCCGTGGCGCCGCGGCCGCCCGTCGGCGCCGCGCCGCCGCGGCGGCCGAGGTGGACGTCGTCGTCGAGGCGGGCGTCGTCGTCGTCGTCGTCGTCGTCGCCCGCGAGCGGGAGGAGGAGGAGGAGGAGGAGGAGGAGGAGGAGGAGGAGGAGGAGGAGGAGGAGGAGAACGAGGAGGAGCAGGATGGATGGAAGGAGGGCGAGGAGGAGGAGAAGGAATTGCGGAATTCCTGCTGGCGGGACTCCTGAGTGCAAGCTCAGACACGACTCAAACAATCAGACTCCTGTGAATGTCATACATATTTCGACGGCGGGAGCGATCGCCAGTCTGCTCAAATTCGGCTGACCCCGCTGACCGGGGTGCGGAGGGCAAGCACTGCAGAGCTTCACAAGGGCTCCCACCCAGAAACTTCCGCTGGGGAAGCACATGACGCCCTTGTGGTAGAAGACCCTAAACAGCTTTACACTGTTACGACGGGGGCCACGATAGGGGGTCGCGATTGGGGACAACGATGGGGGAATCGAGATAGGGGCAGGGATAGGGATAGGGATAGGGGTAGGGGTATAGGGCTAAGGATGTAGTGATACTGATAGGGATGCGGACAGGGATAGGGGTAGGATTCTAGGATATGGATAAGGATAAAAGGGATAGGGGCAGAGGGATAGGGATAGGGATAGGTATTGGGATAGAGATGGGGATACGGATACAGATACGGCTATGGATATGGGTAGGGATAAAGAGGATGGGAGACAACGGGAAGCAGTGGGAGACGGCGGGAGACGACGGGAGAACAGCGGGGTGGAGATTGGGTTGGGGTTGGAGAGAGAGATACGGATACGGGCAGGGGCACAGAGAGGAACACAATCGTAGACGCTGGGGGACAGCTGGCGGCATTGGGAGACGAGGGGAGGCAACGGGAGGCAGTGGAAAACAACGGCAGACTCGAAAGCTGGCTTCCCGGAATGAGGCGCGGCACGCGAAACAGTCAACGGGCTCCTTCCCAGAAGGACGAAGACAACTTCCCGGAGGTCGATTTTAGCAGCCACGGTCGGGGATCTTCTGACCCAGGTCAATCCAGACCCGGGTCAGCAGGAAATCAAAAACTGCAATGCAGGATAACAAAAAAAAAAAAAAATGCAACGCAGGTCTTCGCAAACCCAGGTCAGCCAATATGTGCGGCCGCCTCGCGGCCACGAGCGGCTCGCTAGCCCGAGTCAGCCAGAGGGGGTCTTCGCAGGATCCTGCAGGATCCAGTGCCGTGGCTGACCCCCGTTTGCATTGACCTCCGTCTCAAGGCTCCCGACACGGATTTAGCAGCCCTTGCCCGGCTTCCGACAGACAACGGGAGACCGTGGAGAAGAATGGGAGACAACGCCGCCCGACCGACTCCAGATCCGGCAGCGCACCCACTGGCTTCCTATAAGATGTACGTCTCCCATTGGGTCGGGCGTGTCCCCCTGCAGGCGCATGTTGGACGAAAAATATAGAAAATACCCCCCAAAAAATACACCGAAACTAATCAAAAAATAATTTACAAAATGGTCCCCTGACTATTTTTTACCACTTTTGAATTTTCCTCCTGTAGAGGGACATGCCCGACTTCCACAAACCACTCTTGCACACTTTCTGCGCAGGCGGCTGGGCAGAGCAGCTGAGCCGGCCGAAGAGCTGACCAAACGGGGGCATCGCTGCAGCTAATGGTGCCCCAGCACCTTTACGCGGGGCTGGACCTAAACGTTTTTCTTTATCGTTTTGTGCTCGTTTCGTTGCTCGTTTTGCTCGACCTGTTTTCCTGTACCTTCTCTGCCATTGCGAATATCAGCCAGCGTTGACTCCAAATAGGTAGATGGACAGAAGAAGAGCGAGAGAAGGAGAAGACGAGGAGAGGACGGGAGGAGAGGAAGCCAAGCATGAGGGGGGTGCCATTGGAAATAAGGGGGGTTGCAATTGGCAAAAGGGGGGGTGAGGGGGGGGGGGCATTGGAAATCAGGTTGGGGGCCATTGGAAAAAGGGGGGTTCTTAAGACCAATTACTTATGATGAGCTAGGACTCCTATAGGGCAAGCAAATTTGGAGAACTATGTTTGAGCATTTCTCCTGTAGAGGGACACGCCCGACTTAAATTGTGCCCCGGCACCCTCACACGGGGCTGGACCTAAGCGTTGTTTTTTCTATCGTTTTGTGCTCGTTTCGTTGTTCGCGTTGCTCCACCTGTTTTTCTGTGCACTCCCTGCCAAAACGAAGAGCAAAACACGGCCGAGGTCCAGCAGAACGGCGTTCAGGTCCAGCCCTGAAGGCCCTTGCACACAAGCTGCGGCATTGAGGGATGAAAAAACGACCCTACCCTGGGTTACAAGTGCGTGGTCTGTAAACCTCCTGGGAACCCCCAAAGCCTAGAGCCGCCAGGACGCGGCACATCACGCAGGGTTTACCCTCTCAGCCCACAGGAGTTTCAGCGCACAGCGCCTCGTAAACCAGGGTAGGGGCATTTTTGTATGCCTTTGACTCAGGGAAGCACCCCAGGGGACGAAGCGGTCGGGGCCTTCCTGTGGCCGCGGACTTGAGAAAACAGTGGGCTCGCGGAGCCGAGGGGTCTGCGGCGCACTGCGGCGACGATGGGACAGCCAGAGGGCGAGCGGAGGGAAGGGGACAGGAGTAGAGGCATCCTGCTCCTCCTCCTGCTCCTCCTCCTCCTCCCCATCCTCCTCCTCCTCCTCCTCCTCCTCCTCCTCCTCCTCCCCTCCTCCTCCTCCTCCCTCCTCCTCATCCTCCTCGTCCTCCTCCGCCTCCTCCTCCTCCTCCTCCTCCTCCTCCTCCTCCGCCTCCTCCTCGTCTTCCTCCGCCTCCTCCTCCTCCTCCTCCTCCTCCTCCTCCCCGGGAGGCCACGGGAGGCAACGGGAGGCAACAACAGTCCACGGGAAAACACCGCGAGGCAACAGGACGCAACGGAAGATAGAAATGGACATAACGGGAGACAACAGTCCACGGGACAACATTACACAACGTCACCCGACGATTCTGGAGCCAGCAACGCACCTGTGCACCAGTTTCTCAGAAAGCTTAGACTGAACCCGTACAGAGACAAGCCGGTCAGGGAAGCAACACACCTCGGTACACCATAAAGGCGTGTGCGGGCTCACAAAACTGGGCACTCGGACGCAGGATCCCCGAGAGCCCGGCTGAGCTCCACGGCACGATCCCAGCGGAGGACCCACCCCTGCAGCGGGACACGGCGCCGCGGAGCGGTGACGAGCTCCGGGCCAGAACTTATCCAAGCGATCGTCACAGCGGGAGATCATTCGCGGCAAAACATGCGTTTAGGGGACACAACGACCTTGACCAACGCATGGCCTTCGTCCAGAAGGCGGCCGCGTCTCTGACCCACACAAGACACGATATCGTTATTATTATGTTGCTCTCGGCCTAGACGAGCTTCACGACCACAGCCCCAAGTCAACGACAGATGACGACTGATCGCAAGAAGCCACGTCAACGCGAGGAGGCAGCTGAAGCCCACCTGCTCCACAGCACGAATCAGCGTAGGATGTAGAGCCCCCCCATGCCGCCGCTGCCCCAGCAAACAGATCAGCAACAGCATTGGCCACGAGTCTATGAGGGAGAGAATGTTCGTCACAGTCTGGCGGCGTGTGGGATGACTAGGAGGAGGAGGAGGAGGCAGAGAAGGAGAAGGCGGCGGAGGAAGAGGAAGAGGAAGAGGAGGAGGAGGAGGAGGAGGAGGAGGAGGATAAGATGCTCGTCAAAGTCTGGCGGCGTGTGGGATGGCTTTTGACGCAGACTTTATGATCACACCTGTGGCCAGGCGGGGAGTCCGTCCCAGATCCATCGCCACAGGTCCCGCATCGCAACGCCGTCGACGCTGGCGCCAACGCGGCTGAGGGCGCTCACGATTGGGCAGAGATCGGTAAACACGCGCACACCTCCAAGTCTGCACCAAAAAAAAAAGATGCGCGGACAAGCAACGAAATGAGCCAGGAGTGACCCCAATCAGGGGCAAGCATCATCATCATACTGCGTGGGCACACTACGTGGCGTCGTCTGGCGCTGCCTGGCATTGCGCAGCACTGCCTGGCACTGCCTGGCATTGCTTGGCATTGTTTCGTATAGTGCTGGGCAGATTGAGTGGCATTGTTTGGCACTGCTTGGCATTGAGTGCCTTTGAGTGGCACTGGTTCGCTTTGCTTTGCATCGAAATGCATTGCTTGGCATCGAGTGGCGAGAAGGCAAGGGACCAAGACCAAGGAACACACGAACCAAGTAACCAGGGAACAAAGGCCATGGAACCGAGGAACCAAGACCAAGGAACCAAGGAACGAACCAAGGAACCAAGGAACCAAGGAACCAAGGAACCAAGGAACCACGGTCAAGAAACTTAAGGAAGACAGCAAGAAACCAAGACCAAGGAACCAAAGAACCAAGACCAGGGAACCCCGACGAACGCCAGTCGGCGCAGGCCCAGCTCCCACTGGGTCTTCAAAAACAAATGAACATGGCGCGACCCTCAATTAGGGGAACGCCTATTGCATCGGCGCACCGCTGGGCGTTTCGCTTGGCACTGCTTGGCATTGCTTGGCATTGCTTGGCATTGCTTAGCATTCCTTGGCACTGCTTGGCACTGCTTGGCACTGCTTGGCATTGCTTGGCATTGCTTGGCATTGCTTGGCACTGCCTGGCATTGGTTGGTACTGCTTGGCATTGCTTGGCATTGCTTGGCATTGTTTGGCATTGCTTGATATTGTTTGGCACTGGCTGGCATTGATTGGCATTGCTTGGCATTGCTTGGCATTGCTTAACCAAACATTGGTTGACATTGCTTGGCATTGCTTGGCATTGCTTGGCATTGCTTGGCATTGGTTGGCATTGCTTGGCATTGCTTGGCATTGCTTGGCATTGCTTGGCATGGGTTGGCATTGCTTGGCATTGCTTGGCATTGCTTGCCCGAAGAACCTGGGGAACCCGACGAACCTCCGAAGAAGGGGCAACGTAACAATAGGAGGCACCGGGGGCGGGGAACCCGAGGAACCCGAGAAACCCGAGGAACCTCCGAGCAACGGGCAAAGTAACAGTGGGAGGCACCAACCTTAAACCAAATAAGAACCCCTTAGGCAAGCCTCATTGGGCATTAAGAACCTATTAAACAAAACCTCATTGGAGACAAGTCCTGCCGAACACCTCAAACTACGACAGACTCGACAGGGAGCCTCTTCCAATAACTGAGACGGCCTGGGGCCCATGCGCCGACCACCATGTCCCCGTTAGGGAGGAAGATTGCATCGTGTGGGTGTTTGGTCCCCTCCTCAGCGAGGAGCTGCGAGACATTCACAACGGAGATCACCTTGTCGCCCCTGTCCAGGACAGACACTGGGCCAGAAAGGTCGGGAACTATGGCTCGGCCCTCCTGTTCTGGATAGGTGCGGATGTTGCATGGCAGAGCGCCTGCGCCCATAGACGGGCGCAAGTCAACCGTAGACTTGTACTCGAATTTGTCAGGGGACTTGGGGTCGACCTCGTAGTACTCAACGCGACTGTTGGCGCGGTCGCTTACGCCAATCTGCTGGTGGCGAGGATCCCACGTGCAGCCATGGTTCGTTGAAAATCTGCCGTGCTGGTCCCGACCGCCCTTGCCACCGTAGGTCGTATTCATGAATGTGCCGTTAATACTGAAGACATACACATTATTGCTGCCATAACCGTCGCAAAGGTAAACGAACTCACTGTCTGGAACAACAGCGAACCACGTGGGACGATACGGCAGCTTGGGATCCTGGCCGAAATTGCCCTTGACCTGCCACACGATGGTACCATCGAGGAGTGTTTTAGTCAATTTCTGGTCATTGTTGGCATGGTAGAGGTAGGGAACGCCCTGTTCGACGGCGAGCTGAAGACCATGAGGGGTGCCCGAGCATAGCTCGGAGCCACCGCCAGTCATGAACTCTCCGCCCGTGCCGTCAGGTCTCCACCGAATCAAACAGTTCAGGTCAGTTTTTCCATCGTTCTCGTACGTCAGGTAGATGTTGTTGTCTCCGTCGGTGACCAGACCGTGGCAGTTCACGTAGTTGGCGCCAGCAGGAGGCTGCAGAAGATCTGGCATGTACTGGTACTTGAAAGCGCCATAGCCTCCAACAATAGGATCAGCGGCCAAAGCAGTGGCGACACACAGCGCAGAAGCGACCTTCGACATCTCGTGAGGAGTGCACACTGTGCACACCGTGAGGGTTACAAATGAGTCGCCTCTGAAATCCGCCGACCCTGTCGGCGTGTGTGAGGGGCTTGTCCGTTCAAGTCGTCATCTCCGTCATTCGTTGGTCGTCGTCTCTGTCGTCCCCTTTCCCTGCCTCCCCCCGTTCCCTGGGCTCGTCGAAGCTCCCCCCTTTCCCAGGGACCTCCTCAGCGCGCCAGCCAAGCCGAAAATAAGCAACGTCGTAATCGAGTCGAAGGGAAGCCCCTTCCCTTCGATCCCTCCCCCGTCGGGGGGGGGGAGGGTGGTCCCGGGGGTGGGGGGGGGTCAGACGCCCCGGGGGGGTGTCAGATACGACGCCCCCCTGGGAGTCCCGGAGCCCAAAAAAGCCCCAAGACGGGCCAAGAGTGCCCCAAGAGGCCCCAAAGACAGTCCAAGAGAACCCCGAATGGCCGAACGATCTGTCCAAGACGCCTTGACGGCCTCCAGACGGCCCAAGAGGCCTGCAAAGCGCCCCTAAGAGCCCTCCAGGTGCTTTCCCACGAGCCCCCAAAGGCAAAATCCATGGATTTCACATACGTTTTTGAAAGATTTTGGCGTTCTTGCCTCTTCCGCTTCCCGACGCACCAAGACGGCCCAAGAGGCCCCCAAGATCGCCCCGAGACGGCCCAAGAGGCCCCCAAGGCCGAAGAGGGCCCCAACACGGCCCAAGACGCCTCCAAGACGGCCCAAGAGGCCCCCAAGACGGCTCCAGGAGAGTGCCCAGACGGGGGACCCGAACGGACATTTCGAGCTCTCAGCCCCAAGAGGCCCCCAAGAGGCCCCGAAGAAGCCCCAATAGGCCCCAAGAGGCTCCCAAGGGGCCCCCAAACTGCCCCAAGACAGCCCAGGAGAGCTCCAAATTGCCCGGGAGGCCTCCAAGAGTGCCTCGAGACGGCGCAAGAGGAGCCCTGGACGGCCCAAGACGGCCTCAGGGGAGCCACAGGCTGTCCCAAGAAAGCCGTTTCCCCTCTCCTCCTCCTCCTCCTCCTCCTCCTCCTCCTCCTCCTCCTCCTCCTCCTCCTCCTCCTCCTCCTCCTCCTCCTCCTCCTCCTCCTCCTCCTCCTCCTCCTCCTCCTCCTCCTCCTCCCTCCTCCCTCCTCCTCTCCTCCTCCTCCTCCTCTCTCCTCCTCCTCCTCCTCCTCCTCCTCCTCCTCCTCCTCCTCCTCCTCCTCCCCCCCCCCCTCTGCTCCCCCTCCTCCTGCTCTCCTCTGCCTCCTTCTCCTCCTCTTGCTTCTCCTCCACATCCTTCTCCCCCCTCCTCCTCTCTCATCCACCTCCTCCACCCTGCACCCCCCTCGTTTTCATCTTGGTCGCTCTCAGGGTCGGCGGCAACGGCCGTAAGGCCTTCGCAATAAAAAAACAGATGCTCGAGCCGAACTGACTTGAGCCACAGTGGCTACGGACCAATACAGCCGGACCCAGGCCAGAGGAACACCCTGCAAGAGCAGGAGACCCCTCCCCAGGCCAAAACGCACAGAACATCCAGGGGTGCCCTCCCCAGGACGCACGAGACCCTCCAACAAGCACGAAGAACACCATGGTAGCCTCCCCGAACCGACCTCCAAATTTACGCCTCGGTCCGACTGCAGTACAGGGCAGTTTTTTTTATACATAGGATTTTCAAAAACATAGGATGTTTAATACATGATTAATGTATGAGTGAATTTATGCATGAACCCATCGTTGTTTTAATGCTAAACCCTGCATTCAGAATACATGATCCGCACGCGGAGCATGTAATAATCGGCGGTGGACAAACCTCCCTTTAGTAAACATCCCCGTAGTGAAACGGCCTGGGACTGAAACCGACGGACCTGGACCCGCAAAAATGACGGCCGCGACGCCCTCTCGCGAACCGAAAACGACCAATTCCTTAATCGACGTGTCAGGGTAGGAGGTCTGTCCACCCCCGAAATAAAAACGGCACTGTATGGATCATGATCTGCAGGATCGCGCACAGCTCGGCCGGCGGAGGGCCTCGCACACCAGGCCCGACCGGGAGGGGGGGGAAGGCGCAAGAGAGCACGCCGTGCACTCCAGGAGAGCCTGGGCAGCTCCTCCTCCTCCTCCTCCTCCTCCTCCTCCTTCTCCTCCTCCTCTTCCTCCTCCTCCTCCGTCTCATCGCTCCTCCTCCTCCTCCTCCTCCTCCTCCTCTTCCTCCTCCTCCTCCTCTTCCTCCTCCTCCTCCTCCTCCTCGCTCCTCGCTCCTCGTTCCTCGCTCCTCCAGTTTCTTCTTCCTCCTCGCTGGACCAGCGCCCCACCAAGTCGCCGAGGGCGCCAGTCCGAGGCACGCTCGCCTCCTGATCCATCGGGCCCATGGATGCCCCAGAGACCTTGGCCCCATTCTGGACCGCCTCCAAAAAAATACCCCAGGCACACACGTCAGGCTCAGCATCAGGGAGGGCGTCCGTGGTCTGGCCTCGACAGGCATCGGATCCTAACTCTCGGTCTCCTGGGATCCTTCTCCGGCATCTTCAAGAAACTTCACTATTGAGTTGATGGCATGGTCATAAAAATGACAATTATCGCGACGGTCCTAGGAGCGATGGAATGGGGTCTCCGGTCAAACGCCACACCAATCAGAAACCCCAGAGCTATCCTACCCAGATTCTCGTAGTGGCATCTCGGGCCACTGCCCACCGGTGAGAAGGCTGCGGAGAAGGGCGGAGAATTCCCCATCCCCTTGCATATGAAGGAATGTAAGGAGCAAAACTCTGTACACCGGCGGTTTTTTCCGGCCCCGCACTAGAATTCGCACAGGAAAGCGGATCCTGGTGTAGACGGGATCCTGTTGTATAGATTTTTCGCTGTCCCCGGGAAAACGGGGAAAACTGTATGCACCACACCACCCCGACGTCGTCCCCGACCCTCCAGAAAACCTGGGATTGAAAAACAACCCGCCACTGGTCATGTGTATGCTCCCGTTTCCGACAGACGGTCAAGTCAACTCTACCTGGCAAGCCTTGGCCACGAAAATTGTCAGAGGCACACTGCCACAGCTGTCAAGCTACAGCGAGATAGCAAGAGGGCCTCAAGAGGATCCCAGAGAGGGCCTCAAAGGCGAAAAACAATGATTTTCCATCAGGTATTGGACGATGTTTGCGTTCTCGTTTTCGGGCTTGGAGACTCCAAAATCGGCCCGAGAAGCCTACCAGACCAGGCCCAAGACGGCCCCCGAGGGCCCAGAGGCGGCTCTTGAGGGTCCTAAGACAAACCAAGAAGTCCCCAAGACGGCCAAGAAAGACCCTCGAGAGAGCCCCAAGAGGGGGAACCCCCAGGAACACCGGGAGCCCTCCCCCACAAGATGGCCCCAAGACACCAAACATGCCCCTAAGAGGCCCCCAAGAAGCTCCCAAGAGCCCCCCAACGCCCCCAGCAGCCTTGAAAAGGCTCCAAGGTGTCGCCCCCGTAGGCCCCGAAGATACCCCCAGGAAGCCCGCAGCAGACGCGGAGGAAGAGGCCGCATCAGCAACAACTGCACGCAAGCCGCACGACGAAAAGATTGTGAAACCGCACATACCCAGACCCCCGACGACGTGTTTTTTCACGACGTCGACCCCCAGAGGTCTGGACCCCTTCCCCGGGACCGGCTTTTCGTCCTGAGTCGTTTCCCGAGCCCCAGTAGGGGTCCCTGGAAGCCGAAAGAAAAAATCCAGCCAAGATTATTTCACAACGCGAGGAGATCTGGATATCGTCTTCTGGGGGTCGGCGAAAGGGTGCAAAACTGTTGAGCAGACAGCATGCCGAAGGAAAACCTTGAAGTGGCCCTCGCCAGGCTGCGCGACGACCAGTCAATGGGAGCCCCACGGCAATGGGGGACTCGGCGGGAACCGAGGGCAAGGAAGGAGGAGGAAGCAGGACGGGGGGGGAGGAGGAGGAGGAGGAGGAGGAGGAGGAGGAGGAGGAGGAGGAGGAGGAGGAGGAGGCGGAGGAGGAGGAGAGGAGGAGAGAGAGGAGGAGGAAGAGGCGGAGGAGAAGGAGGAGGAGGAAGAGGAGGAGAGCAAGAAGCGGGGTGGGAATGAGGGAGGAGGGGGGGGGAGCAGGAGGAGGAGGGGAGGTGGGGAGGTGGGGAGGTGGGGAGGAGGAGGAGAAGAAGGAGGAGGAGGAGGAGGAGGCGAAGGAAGGAGGAGGAAGGAGGAAACGGGGAGGAGGAGGAGAGGAGGAGGAGGAGGAGGAGGAGAAGGAGGAGGAGGAGGAAGAGGAGGAGGAGGAGGAAGGAGGAGGAGCAAGAAGAGGGGTGTGGATGAGGAGGAGGGGGGGAGAAGGAGGAGGAGGGGAAGAGGGCAGGTGGGGAGGCGGGGAGGAGGTGGAGGAGGAGGAGGAGGGCGCCGCCGCCGTCGACGTCGTCAAGGTCGACGTCAAGGTCCTCGTCGTCGCCCGCGAGGTGGAGGAGGAGAAGCAAGAGGAGGAGGAGGAGGAGGAGGAGAAGGAGGAGAAACAGGAGGAGAAGCACGGGGAGCAGGAGGGCGAGGACGACAAGAGACGATCAGAAGGACGAAGAAGAGCAGGAAGAGGAAGGAGGCCGGAGAAGCAGGAGGATGAGAGGGAGGAGGAGGGAGAAGGAGAAGGAGGACCAGCGTAAACCCAAGACTCCCCGACGATGTTGGAATGAACCCTCCCTCCAAGTTCCCTCATCATAAGCCCCTACAAAGAAACTGCTCCATTGGGAGACAACCGTTAGAAGATCCTGAAGCGTGCCAAAACGCCATTGTCGGGGCCCAAACACCACGAATCAACCTGACTGTTGCGTCTTGGCAACCCTGAATCGTGCCAGAACGCCATTCCTGCGACTTCAACACCGCGGATCAACGCAATTGTTGCGCCCTGACAGTCCTGAACTGTTCCAAAAACACGGTGTCTGCCACGCTGACCATGGGAATCCGCGAAACTCTTCCACATGTTGAAAACAATATGCACGGCGCTGGCTCGAAAGCCACATTTTGAAGAGGAACCGCCCTCAATCCGCAAAAATATTCCAATATGTTTAAACAAATATGCGCGGCGCTAGACCGAGAACCACATGTGGAAAACGGCCCGCCATCAATCCGTGAAATGCATGCACAGTTTTACAACGAATGTGCGCGGCGTGAAGGCGAGCACCACATATTGAAACCCCACACGCCTTCAATCCGTGAAACTCTTGCGAGTTTTTAAGACGAGTGTGCGCGGCGCTACAGCGAGCCGCATTTTCAAAACGGCCCACCCTCAATCCGCGAAACTCTCGCAATTTGTTCAAACGAATGCGCGTGGCGCTAAGGCGATTGGCGCATTTCGAGACCCGCCCGCCCTCCACCCGCGAGAATGCTGTCACTTCTTTAAGCCTCAGGACCATCAACGGTAGAGAAACTCCGGCCGACACGCCCGGCCCGCCCTTCCGACTGGCCTCGGGGTGCGACAGGGAGGCGTCACTTCATGAGGCAGACGCATGGAAGAGGTGCGGGGGGACGACGAGGAGGAGGCAGCGAGGCCAGAGCAAAAAAAAAAAAGCAGGAGGCGAGGAGGGGGACGGGGAGGAGGAGGAGGCAGCGAGGCGACGAGGAGGAGGCAGCGAGGCAGCGAGGCCGGAACGAGGACGGGAGCACGAAGGACCGCGGCGACGCCGCCGCCGCCGCCGGCGACGGCGGGCGGCGGCGGCGGGCGGCCGCGGGAGGGCGGCACCGTCGCGCGTGCGCGCGGCACCGCCGCGCGCACGTCCTCCCGGTACTCCTGAGCGGCCGGGCGGCGGGGCCCGCCGCCCGGGGTTGCTGGACGCCCGGAAGGGGTACGGGAAGAATGGGTACAATGCCCAACAGCATTTTTTTGATTCGCGGGTCGAGAGCGCACCGCTTCCGGTCGAAGCTAAGCAGGCCGCGCGAAGCTTGAATGAATCAGAGACGGGGGGGGAAAAAAGGATCGCAATGCCCAACAACAGATGCTGTCCCAAACCATCAGCGGCCGCTGTTGGGCAGGCGGCCTTCTGTCTCGGATGGACACAAGCCGCGGCGGCGTGGACAGCGAGGCCTGTTAAAAACGAACAGGATCCGCTGTTGGGCATGGTATCCATTCTTTCCGTGCCCATTTCGTTCGTGCAGACAGGGGGCCCCGCGCAGGGTGCGGGGGCACGGCGAAAGTGGGCGGCGCGGAGGGCGCCACCGACGAGGCGCAGGCGGCGGCGGAAGCACGAGTAGGCCCGCCGCTGGCCTCCTCCTGCTGTGAGAGCCAGGCGGGGGCATGCTGCTGCTGCTGCCGTTGTTGTTGTTGGTGTTAGTGTTGGTGTTGTTGGTGGTGTTGTTGTTGTTGGTGGTGGTGTTGTTGTTGTTGCTGGTGTTGTTGTTGGTGGTGTTGTTGCTATTGTTGTTGGTGGTGGTGTTGTTGCTGCTCCGTCTTCGGAACCAAACCCGGAGGCCCCAGAGAATGCCAGAGCTGCGCAAACATGGATTGAAGGCTCTTCGGCCCCATCGTGCCACCATCATGTTCCTCCTCCTCCTTCTCCTCCTGCTCCTGTTCCT